AGCGACATCCAGTCCGATATGTCGTTTAGGAGGTGGGCGATGCGGGCAGAGAGTGAGGGGGTGAGGTGGGGGGTTAGAGAGGTAAATTTGGGTGTCGTCGGCATAGAGGTGGTAATTGAAGCCATGGCAGTGAATAAGTTTGCCAAAGGAGGAGGTATAGATGGAGAAGAGGAGGGGCCCGAGGACAGAGCCTTGGGGGACCCCAACAGAGAGGGGGAGGGAGGGGGAGGTGGCAGTGTTGTAGGTGACACTGAAGGAGCGTTGGGAAAGGTAGGAGGAGAACCAGGAGAGAGCAGCGTCCCTGATGCCAAGGGAGTGCAGTTTAGTAAGGAGGAGAGGGTGGTCAACAGTGTCGAAAGCCGCGGATAGGTCGAGGAGCAGGAGGATAGAATAGTGGCCATTGGCTTTGGCGGTTAGGAGGTCATTGGTGTATTTAAGTAGGACGGTTTCGGTGGAGTGCAGGGGACGGAAGCCAGACTGTAGGGGGTCATGGAGTTTGATATCAGTGAGGTGGGCGCTTAGGCGATTGTAGGCCAGGCGCTCTAGGCGCTTGGTAGTGAAAGGCAGGAGGGAGATGGGTCTAAGGTTGTTAAGGTTAGTGGGGTCAAGGGAGGGTTTTTTGAGTATGGGGGTGATGTGTGCGTGTTTTAGAGGGGAGGGGAAGGTGCCGGTGGTGCAGGAGAGATTGAAGATGTGGGTGAGGGAGCGAATGATGGAGAGGGGGAGGTGAATGGAGGAGCTGTGAGGGGATAGGGTCCAGGGGGCAGGTGGTGAGGCGGGCTTCAGTGAAGACCTTAGAGACCTCCTCAGAGGTAGTTGGGCTGAAGGAGCAGAGTGTTGGGGAGGTGATGGTGTGCGGGGCATTGGGTATAGTGGGGGGTAGTGCGGCTATGAGGTCAAGGGAGGGAAGGGTTGAGGGGTTGGAGGAAGGCGGGGAGGCTGGGTGGAGAGGTGGATTGTGAGCTGACAATGTCCTTACGGATTGCGTTAATCTTGTTTTGGAAGTGATTGGCAATCTCGTGGGCGGTGAGTGAGGTGCTGGGTGGAGGTGGGGGGGGGGAGAGAGCAGGGATTTGAAAGTGGAGAAGAGCCGGCGAGGACAGGTGGAGAGGGTGTTGATAAGGGTTATGAAATAGGCTTGCTTGGCGGCGTGGAGGGAGGTGGTGTAGGTGAGGTAGGCGGCTTTGTAGAGGGAGAACGAGCGAGGGGATCTGGTTTTGTGCCAGAAGCGCTCCAGTGCGCGACTGCGTCGTTTGAGGCATTTCGTGTGGTCGTTTTGCCAGGGTTGAAGCGGTCGGGGTCTAATGCTATGTGTGGTTAGGGGTGTCAGGGAGTCAAGGGAGTCAAGGGCAGCTGACAGTGAGTCGTTGTATGCAGTAGTGGCCAGGTCAGGGCATGACAGAGAGAGGATACTGTCATACAGACGGTCTGCTGCCGGGTGGAGATGGGTCAGGTTCAGATTGCGGAGGCTGCGGGTGATGATTAGACGCTTCGGGGGGGGGGAGTTGAGGGAGGGGGAGATGGAGAATGTAAGGAGGTGGTGGTCAGAGAGGGGGAAGGGGGTGTTAGTGAAGTCGTGGGGGGTGCAGAGATGGGAGAAAACGAGGTCCAGGGTGTTTCCATTGGAGTGGGTGGAGGACTGTGTGTGCTGTGTGAGCGCGAAGGAGGAGGTTAGAAGGAGGAGTTGGAAAGTAGCCGGGCTGTTGGCATTGATCGGGATATTGAAGTCGCCTAGGATAATGGTCGGTAGCTCGGAGGAGAGGAAGACGGGAAGCCAGGCGGCAAAGTCCTCTAGGAAGGGGGATGCGGAACCAGGAGGCCGATAGATTACCGTAATCCTTAGGGGGGTGGGAGAGAAGAGCCGGATGCAGTGGGCCTCGTAGGAGGAGAGAAGATAGGGAGTGGGGGTTAGGGAGGACTTGGAAGGTGCTCAGCGGTGGTAGTTCTCATATAGTGTTTGGATTCTACTAATATACGAAGTTTGTATGAAATTAACGCATCGATTAAAATAGTAAACAAGGATAGTATTTTTAGCTGAACAACAAATAATTCTTATTTTCATTTTGCTTTGACACATGTGCATTGGAAGTTGCACATCTGGATGACTGTGACACTTCATGAATGCATGTAGTTTTTTTGTTACTGTGGCTTATAAGTGACATTTTAAATAGTTCTATAAAACGAAGAGTTTAATAAACAAAACAAAAATAAATTATATTTACTAAAAATTAATTGAAGAGTATATTTGCAGAATAAAATGGTTAATTATTATATAAATGGCTGCCTCAAAAATAATTCCACTGTCTTTTATGAAATTTCCTGGCTAACAACAACAGCAAAGTTTTTTTATTTAATCTCCCAAAAATACAGGGGTATGGAGGCAACCTATGCAAGCAGAAGCACAGGAGATGCAGTTAATAGACTAATTCTGGAAATGCCAGTTGCCTGGCAAACATATTAATCCTCTAAATGTAATAGTTTTGAGACATTGAGCCAGGCCAAGCATTAAGCAAATTAATTCAGAGTGGTCAGATTGTTCTGGGTCAATTACTCCAGGTACTGAAGCCAGCTTAAGTGAGAGGCAACTTGCATTCCTAGAAGCAGGAGATAACAATGGAAGCTCCATTATTTATTTTACCAGAGGTTTCCTTTAACTAGTAGTGGCTCAGCTAGAACACCATTATAGTATCAGTTGGCTCTAATATTGGCTGAATAGAACATTGTGATTTATAAGAACTTCTGGAAAAATTACACAACACTGATAGTTAAATACTTAATCTGGTTGAAAAAAGTCCATCCAGTCCAAACAACAAAGAAAAACAAAAACTACAAATAGAAAACGTTCATATATACTATCCAATACCCACAGTTGATCCAGAGAGAGGACTGCAAAAAAAAAACAATAAAGTACTATCCAATTTGCTCCTGCAGGGGAAAAAATTCCTTCCTGATCCCTCAAGAGGTCCCTGGATATTCCCTGAATCAACTTTATCTATAAATATTAGTATCCAGTTATATTATGTGCATTTAGGAAGCAATCCAGGCCTTTTTTAAAGCAATCTTCTGAGCTGGCCAGGACCAACTCTTGAGGGAGTCTATTCCACATTTTCACAGCTCTTACTTTGAGGAAGCCTTTCCATATTTGGAGGTTTAATCACTTTTCCTCCAGACATAAAGAGTGCCCCCTTGTCCTCTGTGATGACCTCAGGGTGAATAACTCTACACCGAGTTCACTATATGAGCCACTGATGTATTTATACATGTTGATCATATCCCCCCTTAATCGCCTCTTCTCAATAGAAAATAAATTCAGTTCCTCTAATCTTTAGTTTCCTCATAGCTGAGCATGCTTCTTTGCTACTGATCTGAAAAAACTGATGGCTTTCAAGGAAAAGAACAGTCCAGGATGTTTCTGTAAATAGGAAGGAAGTTATCCCCGTGCATTGATTCAGTAAAGTTGGGCATCCCATAATCTCTATTGCCCTATCCAAGTTATTTTCCTGCAATAAAATAACAAAAGCCAAGCTCATGGACTGTTCACTGGCTGTGGACAAAATTGTGGAAAATGCGTGTTGCCTGGCTGTGCAGAGCTTAGGTGTACCTAGAAACACTGCGGCCCTCACAAGGGTAGTGCTACATAAATATAGGCACCACATTGGCCTTACTCCATTCCAGTGGACCTATTCCAGTCATTAAAGAGTCCCTAAAATTTAGAAAAAATGGCTTTGAAATGACAGAGCTCAATTCTGTATGGCCCCATGGGTGTATGCCATTTGGTCTAGGAGCCTTATTCACCTTTATTCTGACTAAATATTTCTGGGTCATATCAATTTGAGCCATAGTGGCTCATTTGGGGCTGTGTCAAATATCATCCTCATTATGGACATGAGCTCTCCCATGCTTCTTTGTATACTTGGAGCTGAAGAAGTTATTTAATAAATTTGCCTTCTCTTTGTCCCCAGAATATTTTGTAAAGGGCCTACATGCTCAGACTGGACATTTTTAATATTAATACTGTATATTTACGGTCGTAAAGGTGGTGGGGTTGGTCTGCTCCTGTCACCGCAGAGCACCTTCCGAGTCCTCCCAAACCCCCCCTCCCTATCCTTCTCCTCCTTCGAGGCCCACTGCGTCCGACTATTCTCCCCAACCCCCCTGAAGATTGCTGTGATATACCGGCCTCCTGGATCCATACCCCGCTTCCTGGATGACTTCTCTCCTGGCTACCCTTCTTCCTCTCCTCTGAGCTACCCACCATCATCCTTGGGGATTTCAACATCCCTGTCAACCTCGACAACCCAGACACAGCCCGTCTCCTCCACTTAACCTCCTCCTTTACACTTGCACAGTGCATACAATCCACCACCCACTCCGACGGTAATATCCTTGATCTCGTCTTCTCCAACCGCTGCGCTCCCCACAACCTCACTAACACCCCCTTCCCTCTCTCTGACCACAACCTGATTACCTTCTCTATCTCCTCGTCCTCCAACGCCTACCCCTCCAAATGTCACACAACTACCAGCCGTAACCTCCGCAACCTTAACCCTGCCTCCCTCCACTGCAGCTGATCAACTCCACGACCGCATCCTCCCCCTGTCCTGCCCTGACTTGGCTATGACTGCCTACAACAACGCGCTCTCAACAGCCCTTGACTCACTAGCGCCTTTAACCACACACAACATCAGACCCCGACCGCTCCAGCCCTGGCAGACTGATCACACCAAAACCCTCAAACGACACAGTCGTGCCCTGGAGCGACTATGGCGCAAAACCAAATCCCAACAAGCCTTCACCCGCTACAAATCTGCCTTCCACACCTACACCTCCTCCCTCCATGCTGCCAAACAGGCCTACTTCTTGACCTTCATCAAGGCCCTCTCCTCCAATCCTCGCCGACTCTTCTCCGCCTTCAACTCTCTACTCTCTCCACCCCCACCTCCACCCAGCACCTCACTCACTGCCCTTGAGATTGCCAATCACTTCAAAAACAAGATTGACACAATTCGCAAGGACATTGCCGCAACTCACACACCCTCTCAACCCGTCCCCTCTCACACAGCTACCCCCTCATCCCCCCCCCCCTCGACATAACCCGCAGGGACTTCGTCGCTGCTCAAACTCTCTCCAACCATCTTCACCCTCACTCAGCTACCCCCTCATCACCCCTCTCCCACGGCCCCACCACTGCTCTGACCTCCTCTCCCACCCCACCATACATTCCTCATACTGAAGCTCCCCCAACACTCCGCACTTTTGACCTTACTACCATCGAGGAAGTCTCCAAGATCCTCTCTGATGCCCGCCTCACCACCTGCCCCCTCGACCCTACCTCACACAACTCCTACGACCTCCTTCCCCCTCCATCCTACCTACAGTCCTCCGTCCCCTACACTCCACCACTTACCACATCTTCAAGTCTCTCCCTCTCCTCCCTCGGCCTCAGAGATTCTGCTCTCTCCTGGCTCTCATCCTACCTGTCACAATGCTCCTTCAGCATTACCTATAATGCTACCACCTCCCCCTCACTGTTGGGGTCCCTCAAGGCTCTGTCCTTGGGCCCCTTCTCTTCTCCATCTATACCTCCTCCCTTGGCCAACTCATACACTCTCACGGCTTCAACTACCACCTCTATGCCGACGACACACAAATCTATCTCTAAACCCCCCACCTCACCCCCTTGGTCTCAGCCCGAATCACACACCTACTGAGCGACATATCAGGCTGGATGTCACTCCACTTCCTTAAATTGAACCTCTCCAAAACCAAGTTTCTTGTCTTCCCCCCAGCCCGGACACCACCCCCCATTGACTTCTCCGTCACATCCAACAACGCTACCATTAAACCCGCCCTGCAGGCCAGAGTACTTGGTGTAATTCTGGACTCCAACCTATCCTTTCAACCCCAAGTCCAATCTTTAACAAACTTGTGCAGACTCCACCTCCGCAACATCGCCAAAATACGCACGTTCCTAAGCCCAGAAACCACTAAACAGCTCATCCACTCCCTCATCATATCACGAGTCGACTACTGCAACTCCCTCCTCACTGGCCTGCCTCGCCGCTGGCTATCGCCGCTGGCTATCCCCGCTTCAGTCGATCCTGAATACGGCTGCCAGACTCATTCACCTTTCCAACCGCTCTGTCTCCGCCACCCCCCTCTGCCAATCCCTCCACTGGCTTCCGATTGCGCAACGGATCAAATTCAAAATCCTAACACTGACGTACAAAGCTGTCCACCATACTGCCCCGAACTACATCACTGACCTAATATCCAAGTACCGCCCAGCACGCACACTCCGCTCCTCACAAGACCCCCTTCTCTCTAGTTCCCTGGTCTCCTCCTCCCATGCCCGCCTCCAGGACTTCTCCAGGGTGTCACCCATCCTCTGGAACTCCCTGCCCCAACCCATCAGATTATCACCTACTCTCCTCTCCTTTAGGCGCACCCTGAAAACCCATCGCTTCAGGGAAGCCTACCCCACCCCCTGCTAACTTGCCGACCTCCTCCACTCTTCCTACCACTCCATCCCCCACAGCTATCTCCTCCTGTGCCACCATCATCTCCCTCCTAGATTGTAAGCTCGAAAGAGCAGGGCCCTCGATCCCCTCATGTATTGTATTGGTATTGTTCTGTCACATGTTCTGTCCCCCTTTGTAATGTACAGTGCTGAGCGAACTATTGGCGCTTTATAAATACTGTATAATAATAATATATTTAAAGAATTTTTGGTTTGTCCTGCTCTCTCGTAATTTGACACGCATTTTAAATTTATGTGGCCTTATTTTCCTTTTTAGATCTTTCACTTTATTTTGAAAAAGAGTTTTATTTATGAATATTTTCAGTCCAACAAGAAAGTTGGACAGTGATGCAACATACTTTGCTTGGGCTTGTTTTTTTCACATGCTCCAACATTCACAGACTAGTGTCTGCCTAATCCCCTGGAAAAAACTATAGCTTACAAAGTGGTAGAAATTAACACACTTTCAGCATTTCTTAATACAAAGTGCTGCTGAAGTTGGTTCAATGCACAAATCAGGATCAGAACAGTTGTTAACCATGGCTTCCAAATTTTTTTTCCAACTTACTTGGGCGTTCCCGGCTACTAAAAATATTTTCTAATGAGAATAATAAAGGTTTCTCCCATGTCCTCAAAGACCACTTTGGTTCTAGTCCACTTCACCAGGCTTTGTCAAAAGAAGCAGAGTTTGTTGTGATACTTTATTTTATTAGTACAAAGGTGTGTATTAGTAGCTGTTGGCTGTGAAAATATTTTTTCTTATAAATTATCTAATATTTGCAGTGCAGAAAGTAATAATCAGTATTTGTCAGGCAACTGTGCATTATGATCTGTTCAATTTGTGCTTAAGGTTGAAGCAGACAGGAAACCCCTAATAAACACATCACTTTGCAGACACTTCAACAAAAGAGGAATGCATGCCTTTCCTAGCTAAAAATAGGTAGCATTCAATAACGCAAAGCCATAACAGCTTCAAAACATTTCTTCTATATAAAGTCAACTGCTGTGTTGCAAAAAGAACTCTTTTCAGCACAGGCACTTGCCCTAACCTCAGTATCCACAGATGGCTGCATTATACTGGCACTTTAGTAGTCCACAAGTTCTAATCTCTTAATTATATTATAGCTGTGAGATAGCTATGAGATACGGGGGATTTCACTATCTGACTATTTTATTTACAGTTTTGCTATTAATTTTGGGATTATTCTGTGGGTATTTTTGTGTAGCTGCTTAAATTATTCTGTGGGGAATTGAGCTTCATGGGTCAAACATTAAAGTGCATGTATACCTAAAATCTATTTTTTGGCATTATGCCTCACTGAAATCTTTTGGCTTTTTTTCTCTTTTTAGCCTGTTGCAAGGTTTCTTAAGTGCAGATCCTGCCAAAAACAGCACTTCCTTGAATGCTAAGCCACTGCCTCACAATTAGCAGCATCCTTGTCAGTCTGCTCAGTGGTATATTAATCTCTTGTGCTGACCTAGGCAACATACAAGAATCGGGGGCGCCCCCCAGCAGTGTCCCACCTTCCCCCATTGCCATCACCCTCCGCCCACCACCACCCCTCCCCCACCAACACCCGATCACCCACCATCTGCCCCCCCCCCATCACCACCACCAACATTCATTTACCAGATTAAAAGAACTAACCTTTACAAGAAGCAGCTGGCCATCCCCACACACCCTCCAGCAGCACGGAGCCTCCTCACCAGGTATCTGCCCCTGCCGTTTCTTTCTGGGGGCAGCACTGCCCCCATCAAAATTGCTGCTCAATGCAAACACCTTGTTTGCCTTGTGGTAAATAGGCAGTTTAGTCTGCTGTGTGCACTTCCTCAGCTTAGCTGCCTATCAGGTATGCAGGAGCATGCACGGCTGATCAGCCAACTGAAGGAGCTTGTATGCCAAGCTGACAACGCTGCCACTAACTGAGGGGTAGTGGATTAACAGTGTCTTCCTGCAACAGAAACGCCTGTTATTGGCAGGATCCCGAGGCAAGAAACTTTGCAACACATTCACAAAAATGAATCGCTTAAAAAAACTGTATGCAGTGAGAAATTATGCCAAACATACCAAAGCATAGATTTAGGGCTCCACTACACTTTAAAGTATAACTAAAGGCAAAACTTTTTTTTTATTATTTTGGACAGTGGAGATGAATTAAAACACCTGTCAGGTTTTTATTACTGTCTGTGTTTCTGTTAGGGAGATTCACCCTTTCTAGTTGTCCTATTTACCATTATCACTGCAAGTGAAAGTAAAAGAAAATCCCATATTTTGGGGTGTCCCCAGAAAAGTAATAGAGAGGATATCTTCTAATGGGGACACTTGTTCTAGTGACCTTAGGGGTACCCAAGGGATTCCTTTAATTTGTAGGGATTTCCTCTTGCTTCCTGCTTTGGTTGGTTTTGACTACGGGACAGGAAGTGAAGGTAAATATCCCCAATGGGACACAGATGGCAAAAAAAATTTGACAAGGGTTACTCTTACTTTAAAAATAAAGTTTTGCCTATAGTTAAGATATGTCATTTTAACATATGTGGGCATTAAACACTAGCTGGCCTATGTCACAATTTCTCAGCAGTATCTTCTCAAAGCCTTAAAATCCAACTCCAGGCCCGACACCACAGAGAGCTCCTGGTATTGACATCGGGGAATTGCAGCATCAGAACAATGTCTTTTAATGACACCAGCTCCAGTGTTGTGTTTCAGTCTGCCTCATTCTGTTGTGTCATTCACACAGCACGCACATCATTACCAGACATTGTTCTGCTGCAGTGGGGAGTTGGAAGTGTGGTTCCCCTCTGTATATACCAGGAGCTGCCAGCAGAGCCTAGAGAGCTTCCATAGTAGTAAAACTATGACAATCGTAATGTAATAATTAAAGTTAAAAAAATAAAAAAATGTTGGCCTTTAAATCATTAACCCATTAACCTCTGTATCCTTCCATACTGAGCAATACTAACCAAAGCAAGCACTCTTTAACATGGCTGCCAACAATTGCCTGTGCTTGTAGCCTAGATCCTAGGATCAGGTGGTATATAGGAACACTCCTGGTGGAGATTAATCCCCGCCCTATCATTCAAACGTTAAATAATAGAGCCTCCAATATCCCCTAAGTTTTTGACATTTGAGAGGTGATGCACAGAGGATTAGGCTTAAAGTCAATGTAAAGAAAAATCCAGTCCATCTTTGAAATCAGGACTTAGGATGCCAGGATCTCTTCAAGGCCAAAATAACTAATTTGAAAACAAGCACAATGACTAATTGGAACTGCGAGGTATCTGTACTTTATCACCTTCAGCACCTGACCTCCTGCTGATAACATACGTTTACTTTTATCTTTAATTGGATTAATTAAATATAAAAATGATTACTCATACTGGACTTCAATTATTAAAGGAGATTAGCTAGAAAGCAAGAAAATACAAACAAATCATATTCAGATTTTCATCTTATCGGTGCCATAGAGCAAAACAGTCAATATCTCAGAATTTTAGTGAATGAAAACTGATGAATATTGCATATCTTCAAATCTATCTACGATAGACCACAAACAATGTAGTAGTTTAGTTTTTACACAAAACTACCAACAATTCCATTACTAGTACTATACACCTACTATTGTACAGTGTCAGGTATTATTCTTGTAAACTATGTCTATACATACAGAATCTAATGCACCTCCTGACTGTCCAAATGAAGATCTAGATCCCTGGGAGCCTTTTTTGCTCTCTTTGGTATGAAATATAGAAAATAGCTTTGTAAAAATAAATATATTTATCAACTTGCAATAGTGTTTACATAGATCGTTTGTTATTCTTCTTTCACAGTGAAGTATGGGTCAGGGTTGTAGCAATTCAAGGTTCAAGATTCTGGAGAAACATCCCCAACCTCAGACAGGTAAA